GAAACATTTTTTATTCGATGTATAGGCTATTAGATAGTAGCAATCTCTGAAAGGGGAAATGTATCACTCCTGTTGCAGATGTAGGTCCTTTTTCGGGAACGTGTTTCTTAACTGATGATTTAAATCATGCTGAAGTGTTGTTGTTGCAATTGATTTATAAGAATATAGCATTATGTTTCCAACAGGGTGAGAGAGGTTGAGCATTATTGTTGGCTTGGTCTGGTTGACGAGTTTTAGCACATTGAAATGCCCAAAGATGCATCTCTTCGGAGAACGTACATAATGGCACTGAATACTTCTCTCTCTACGGACAACAAATTATTAAATTGTTATAAATTAACTATTTTTAATCTATTTAATTTCAATATTTGCATTACAATAATTATATTAAATTTTATAAAATAGCATTTTTGGTCTTTTTATAACAAGTTTTGTTCAAAAAAGTAAAATTTTCGAGCATGGAAAGTGCCTATACAAATACATGAGTAGGGATAACCGGTAATTATATACATTCAGTTAAATTTGACTCATTAAAAGCTTGAATTATATAATTAATTGAAGTTGACATTTGTCACTTATATTTTTTTATGGGATAATTTTAGAAACCTCTCTTGAGGTTTCTAATGATTTCAGACAGTTCCACTCACATTTTGAAAATTACACGAACCTCCCCTAGAACATATATTTAGGTTTCACCCCATTCACCCCTCTACCCTAAACTAATTATTAAATTGTTATAAATTAACTATTTTTAATCTATTTAATTTCAATATTTGCATTACAATAATTATATTAAATTTTATAAAGCATTTTTGGTTCTTTTATAACAATTTTTGTTCAAAAAAGTAAAAAATTTCGAGCATGAAAAAGTGCCTGTGCAAATGCATGAGTAGGGATAACTGGTAACTATAAAATACATTCCGTTTAATTTGACTCATTAAAAGCTTGAATTATATAATTAATTGAAGTTGACACCTGTCACTTATATTTTTTTTATGGGATAATTTGAGAAACCTCCTTGAGGTTTCTAATGATTTTAGACAGCTCTTCTCACATTTTAAAAATTAAATATACCTCCCCTAAAACATAGGTTTGGGTTTCACCTTTATAATGTAATACCAAAAAAGTTATATGAATGCCCAAATTTGCCCTTAACTAAATTTTCTTAATACGAATAATCATTAAAAAAATTTTAAAAGTCAAGAATACGCTTGTATACTACCAAATTTATGAGTTTTATTGCTTAGCCAATGTTTTGATATTTTTCATCCCAATGGTTTTCTACATCCATCGAAACTTTCAAATACTCATCACTTCTTTTTCTTCCGAACAAACTTTGTTTTAGATGCCCAAAATCCACCGTCGTAATTTTTACCTTTACAATTTTTACCTCTCTATAGATTTCTTCCATATATTATCTACCAAATCATTAATCATAAAACTCACAATCCTTACCTTTTCCCCACTCAAATGGCCAAGCTCTCGGTTACCAAAATTCTTCTAACCTCTGTTCTCAATATTTGGGTTGGTCATCTAAATCAGCCCACATTTTTTTTCTCAAAATTAACACAGTTTTATTGAGAACAAGTTTGATGTTTATTAAGAGGAACCAAGAAAAACATCAACAAAGTGCAAGTTTGGGGTAGTAGTTTTAGTGTAGTCTACCAAATTATACTTTCTCATAATCCAATAGCTTTTTTGTGCTCAATGATTTGAACAATTAGATTGTTAGCCGTGATGATTGCTTCCATCATCATCCACAGCAGTAGCATGACAATAAGATTAGTGAGGTAAAGGCTTTTAATGGGTTTTCTATGTGAAAATTTTAGATTTCCACTTTTAATGGGTTTTCTATGTGAAAATTTTAGATTTCCATTCTATTTCAATTTACAAATAAAATTATCAAGGTTTTAATGAGTAGCGTGGCAAAATAAAAAAGAACTACAAGTTTCAAATTAGCATTTGGAGATCAGGAATTCAAGAGACACTTTGAGAAAGGTGATAGGAATGGTGATAACAGGATAACGATATGGAAGGAGACATCTACCTTGATTAGTATATTTGAGTGATAGAAGGTTATAATTTAATGGCCATGACTGAAACAGTTTCGCAACAATATATAGCTTAATCAAGAAGAATTGTTTTCCTTTTTTCATTTTTCATTTTTCTGTTATCTTTTTTATTTTTATTTTTTATCAATGGCTTGTCTTTCGAGAAATTATGAAGGTTATTATAGTCATTTTCTATTATCAAGGGAGGTAAGTGTAATATTAAAAACCTTGAGGGAGCTTAGTGAAATCGCTAGAAACCTCAGGGAGGTTTCTGAAATTATCCCTTTTTTTATTGACTTTGCTAGGTTCCTTCCTGAAAAAAAAAAAGAAAAGGGTCAATGCCGGATATATTTTTGACTCTCCTTTGACCTAGAAATCCAAACTAAGAGGGCTGAGAGAAAGAGAGTGTGAGACTGAGCGGTTGGGAGTAATAAAATAAAATAAAGAACAACCCTAATTCTCGATCCTCGTCATTGCCGTCAACTTGGATCGGAGAGAGATCGATCACCTCGCCGGCGCCGGTAAGCCCCTTGGCCAAAATTCGCCGTCTTTAACTTTCCTCATTCCTGCCTTCTTCTATCTCTTACCCTAATTAATGCCTAATTTCCGGCTTTCTCCGAAATTGCGTAATTCCATTTAAAACCTCTCTTGATTTAAATCTCAAAGTCGATTGTGATTTGGGGAGCGGAGTTGTCAGCTGAAGCTCGGGAGAAGGTAAAATTTCTGATTTTGCAATAGATAAATTGTTTAATCACCTAATTTCCTCAAAGTTTAAATTGTATATTGAATTGGAGTTAATTTGTTCTTAATCCGGTATTGGATTCAATTTCTACCAGATTTCGCTGGTCATGATTTTAGATGTCATATACTTTACTAGGATTGAATTTATATTGCTTTATTTTGAGGTCTAATGCTGAAAGTCTAAAGATGGTACAAAGATTTTTTGAGAAACTATTCAGTTGCAATTCAGTCGCGGCATTTAGCTCTTATTTGAATGAAGTCAGTTGGTAACTTAAAAACTGGGATTTAGCATATATATTAGTAAGATTAACATTTCCTTGGATTTGTTGAAGTTATGCTATTGATGCTCACAATCTGAGCTGGTAGAAATTGCTTTTGCACCATGGAATTTGTGTAAGGTTAGCAGATCATGTGGAACATTCTTGTAGTAAAGTGATTTTGGGATATGAGAGCGTCAGTTATTCATTTATGAGATGTAAGTATTAATGGCTGCCTACTCCAAGTGTTTATGTGGTGTTATTATATTTCTAATTGTGGATTGACTACATTTATGTACATCTATTCTTGATTTTAGTAGATCTACAAGCTTCATTAGATTTCCAGATGTCCTGAATAGATTTCTTTTAGATACAGAAGTTCTTACCTCTAAAAGTTGATGTTCAAATGGTTTTCAATAAAGGAAATTATGTGAAAATTTTATTTTGTGTTTATTTTCACGTGCTTCCCAGTTTTGCAATATTGGATATCTCAAATTTTACTATATATACATAATTCCTTTTTAAGAGTCTTTTCGGTTCAAAATTTCTGAACATCATGATAACTGCAATGGAGGATGTGATTTGCTGTGTGTAATGCTTTAAGATATTAATAGCAAGGTTCATGTTCTCGTTGTTGCTTTATTAAAGATATGATGAAAAGAAAGATCTTTGTTAAACTTTTACTGTTCCTCATTTTTAATGTTATTCCGTATGTGAGGGGTATGATTTTATAGAAAGATATAAGCTTTCATGTATGGCTATGTAATTACAAATTCACAGCATACTGGTGCATTATGACATTAGTTGAAAATAATTTACAGCATAAGCAACTCTGCGCTTTGTTTCAACTGACCAGCACTCCACTTCAAGCATTGCATTAAGCTCCACAAGGCCTTTGCAATTTACTGTGCCTAGATTCTTTAATTTCTATAATAAGAAGTAGGAGTACATACTCTCTATTACATTTCTGATATTTAATCAGTTCTGTTTGCTGGTTAAGATACTTCTCCTTTTTTGCCATTGACCATAAACTTGACCATTGGTTGGAGTAGAAGTTTGCTTGTGGTATCAGTATGTGATTTACCTTTTAGGGAGATAAAGGTGAAAGATGCCTATCTTGTTGGTGTTAATCTTACGTGGTAGCCTTTTTAGTACAGCTCTAGACAAATAGCTGGTACTACTTATTTTTTGAGACTTACAGAATTAGTTGTTCATATGATAGGTTAACAAAGCTTAATCAGCTAAAATTTGCTTGATGACTATATGTTGCATCTAATGCATTATTTTATGCCTAAGTGCCTTATTTTCAAAGGGGCCCTACTGCCTAGAGCATTCCACACCAAACAAAGAGAAAAGGAAGTGATAAAAGGGAAAGAGAGGTATGCGTCTTGTCAAATGCAATCATGGATTACATGATTATACCTTGAAGTATTGAGCGAGTAGCCTGGACAAGGAATCTGGAGATGCGGTTTCTGTTGACTAGTTCATATGAATAGTCATTACTCATTTCTGTGTTAGACATTTTGGTGATGGATGCATTATTAAGCATGCTAGAATCAATATGGTTGTGAACAAATTAAGACTTGCTTTCCTTTTCTAAAATTTGGCTCTGCATTATATACATCTATTCAAGAGAAAATCTATGTTATATGGACTCCGGTATTGGTGTCAGATACAGGTGCATGTTGAAGTGTCGGATTCGCATATTTAAAAATTATAGGATCCAGGGATATGTGACCAATTTTAGGTATGGGTGCAGGGGTGCGCTTCTTAAACTTGTAGATGGATAAGATCTTTAGAAATAAAAAATAATTATTTTATTTTTTAAAAAAATAATATTTTTTCTTAATAAATAATAAAATATTGAGGATATATATATAATTTTACTATTAAAATAAAAAATATATATATACTTAAAATAATATATATATATATATATATATATATATACTTGAGCTTAATATTTCGAGTCAGCTCGAACTCGACTTATGAGCGGCTCGGTTCGTTTGCAACCCTATCCGAAACACAAAAAAGAGTAAAGTGGAGAAGTAGTACCACCAACAAACCCTGCGTTGGTTGGGCCTCTCCCTTAAGTCCTTTTCACCTTAAAACCTTTCTTCAGAGAACGAGTGTTGGACCAACGTCATCATCGTCCACCACCACCCTCCTCATCTCTCGTCTCTCTAAACATTTTCCGAGCTCCCCCATTTCCCTCAAAATCAAAGGTGCTATACTCTGGCTTTTTATTTGATCTCTCTCTCTCTCTCTCTCTCTCTCTCTCTCTGAGTTTTTTTTAATTAATTTATAATTGTCATTTGCCTGTGATACTGGCCCTTTTAATCTTTTGGTAAATTGGGTTTTTTTTTAAAAAAAAAATTTCCTTTTCTTGTTTCCTGTAGTAGTTGTGATTCGCGTAATGTCACAAAAGATTTTGGCCACCTGAGGCATTATGGGTTAATTGAGAGAGGATTAACCATTTTGTACGTCTTAGATTATTGGGGATTCATTTCATGTAATGCTGTTGTATTTCTCTGCTAAAGTTGGGATTTTTCTCTCAGGGTTGTGTTAATTTAACTATTGAGCTTTAGAAATTGATTAGCTTTTTTATGTTCTAAGAAGATTTGGTGAAGATTGATCTGTGGACCATATTTCAGAATCTGGGGTTCAAATTTTTCTCACTTTAGTGCTGTGGCGATCCTGGTGTTGCCAGTGTAGCTAAAGCTTAACAGCATAGTGTAATTTTAATATGCTAGAATGGGAAAAAACCACGAAAGCTTTCCTTTTGGCGGGTTTGTTAAACATATGTTCTTATTTTACTAGTTTACTATCCAAATCTTTGTCAGGTTACTGAATTTGCTTTGTAAAAATATTCTTATTTCTTGTTGTGGTGGGATTTTGAGTCCCTCTACAGCCATTATCATTTAATAGTCTATGTATAATTGTATCTAAAATCCTCCCTCCTACAATGTTTACATTCCAAATAACATGGCTTGGTAGGTTATACGTAACTTGCCTTGGCCTTGGAACCAAATAGCCTTTATCTCCCTGCAATATTTACCTACCAAATTAAACCTCCCCTAAGGTTTGTTCATATTACGAAATAAATCTTGTAGTTGATTAGAAAACTCTTACGCCGTTGTTAGTAATGGATCCTTGACTCCGTTAATAGATGTTGTGAAATGATGAAAGAGCCCTAGTTCTAAAGAATTAAAATATTAAAATTTAAAATTCAATAAAAAGAATAATTTTGCCAGAAAAAAAGAAAAGTATTTATTTGAATTTGTGAGTTTTCACAAAAAATTTTGCAATATTTTCTCTACATATTTCTAACTTATTTTTTTACTTCATATGCATCATATCGCCAAATAAAAATTGAGAAACAGTGAGAAACTATCCAACATAAGACAAAGACATAGAAAATTGGTGCAGAAAGATGATAAAAAAAGAAAAAAATGGTGAAACACATGAAAAACATTGAAGAAAGAGATAAAAAGAATAACAAGACCAAGTACTATAAAAAAAAATGGGTGTAAGGAAAATGATACAAAAAATTAAAAAAGAAAGAGTAAAAAGCGTTGATTTGCTATACCAAAAAAAAGGAAAGGAAAGTGTTGGTCATCATCTTCCATAGACGGGCAGTCTCTTTTTCTTTTCTTCAAAACCATATCTAGATTCAGCAAAAATATTTTTAAATAACTTTCCCAACATAGGAGCTCATGTATTTATCAATCCAATTACATTTATCTAGATAATTTTGTTATGGAATTTTGAGCTTGACGGATCTTTTTTAGTTTGCCCAAACTTGAGGGCCTGATTCGTTATTTGGTCAAATCTCGGGGAGGATAAATGTAATTAACCCTATTTTAAGCGAACTGAACAAAGTCACCCACTCCAACCCCATCGCCCCTGCTTGCTGACCAACTCGGCCAACCACTTCCCTCCTTGGCTCCACCCATTTTCAGTCTCCTCCGCCGCCAAGCTGCCGAGCCCCTCTCCTTCTCCGTTTGACTGGAATACAAGGCCGATAGAACGAGCGAACTCGCCAATCTACAGGTAAAATTGACTTCTTCTCCTTGCACCAATGTATTTCGACTCAGAGTTTGTCATTCGTTTTTTCTTGCCTTAAAAACAATTAAATAAAAAGACGTTAAATATATTGATTAAAAGGGACATCACATCTATATATCTCTTCTCATTTTCCTTACACAAGTTGATATCTTCCTCAAGGGTCACAATATTGACTATCAACGTATTGCCTTGAGTTTTGTAATACTAGTGTTACACTTTCTGCTGATAAAAGATTGTCCTAGTAGGTAGATTATATGCTGTTATTGTTATCCAATATACTTGTTGTTAGTAATGCAGCCAAGGGTCAGGCAGCTATATTTTGCTCATTCTTTGTGAGCCCTAGTGGAATGTTCATTCTATAGATTATTAACATGAGGTTTAGAAAGATATAGTGGCTGTCATTCTAACACTCTTTAGGAGCATAAGTAGATAGATATGCACGGCTATGTGAAGTGCTGATGTTGAATTTCAATGAATGACTACCATATCTAATATTGTGGGATGGCCTCAGAGACTCTTTTGGTTGGTACTAGATTGAAAGTTGCTTGTAAATGATTGAAAGCTATGTCCTGAAGTTAGAGATCTCTTTTATGGTGTAGTCCACAAGGATGGCACTTCTTTCGAACATTTCTTGTGACCATTTTCTGAATTTCAAGTGATTTTTTTCTCCTTCTCATTATTGACTCGAGTTGGTCTTTAGTCCATTGGGCTTGAATTGCTAGTTTATGCAATTAGGTTTCTAATTAGACTTTCGAGCAATATACAAATACTGTGTTTCTGTTTTGTTTCCATATTCTGCATCCCCAATTTATGTACAAGAATATGTAGTAAACCCTCTTTTTGTGTAATCTTATTAAATCATATCTAGGTTTTCTCTGCAATTCAGTGATTGAGCTGAAAATCAGGTTCATGGCTGTGCTTTTTTCCTGAAACCACTACTACTATATGCACGTTATGGGAGATTGACCTGAATATTGAGGTTGCTTCTGTGAGTATATCACATAGTTATTTCCTTATGATTGTGTATGGTTCTGCGGTATGGTCTTTTATCGATGTGAAAATCTTTGAAAGATGTTAGAACTTTTCGATGTGAAGATATAATTGTTCTTTACCATTTGAGAATTAGCATCACGTGAACCTTTATTTTCATGGAGTTACATCACTGCAAATCTGTAACTCATTTAATTGGTGGACTTGCATGTACCGTTCTCCATCTTACTGACTCCACTAACCATATAGTTTGGCCTGTTTATACCACGTGGTTCAAATGATGGAAGGTAGGGCAAAGACTGCTACAAGATATCTCCTCTAGCATCTTCATTGGGTGGAAAGGTATCAAACACTTAAGGTATGCCACACGGTCGTACCATGTGGTACTCCAGTATTGATTACTCTACATCAAATAAGTAAGGTGATCCTCCTTGTCTGGTGGGTACTAAATCCTAGATAAGGAGGACCCACATTACTTACTTGGTGACGAGTGATTGATAGTGTTGTACCATATCTTAGTGTCAATGTGGCCTAACTTGAGTATCCAATACCTGGGCACTAGTTCAAAAATTTAGTATATGCATATTAGGAGTGACACTAGCTTATGGTGTGGCATACAACTTTGCTTGTTTGATAATGTAATATAAAATGGGCTGTGTTTGTTTGAACTCATAAGCCTTTTACGAACTCCCTTAAAGTTGAAATTGTATAACTTAATTAAGAGATATTAAACATGGATGGGGCCCAATTCAATAGCAGTCCTACTTACATGCAAAGTTGAGCGTCACATCATCAGCTTATGTTGCATCACATGTACATACCATATTTTCTCTCGTTATTTTTGATATGAGAAACATTCAACAGAAACTACGGTGAACTAGTTGAGTTGCTTCCGCTACTCAGGCTGGTTAATTAGACTTACGTGAACTTATAGTTATGCTTGAGCTACTGATCAGTTCTTTGATCAAGTTGGAGCTCTTTAATAAGTAACTTGCAAAGCTTATGAGCCTCAAATTGTCGGTTTTTATAGTCAAAATCTCCTGCAATATAACGGCACTCGTTGAGCTACATGTTAGCCGTGCTGAACTCTGTTATCAAGTTTAGCTTGTATAATGTCCGGGTCAAGGTCCAGCTTGGCTTACATACAGTTCAAGGTTCATTTAGGTAGTCCTGCTTTGCAGTAAGATTTCTGTCATTCGAGCTCAAACTCAATTGGGATCATCAAAACTTCTTGCCAAACTTGAGATTGATGGTGGCCTAGAACTCAAGTTTGTTACAATTTAGTAATTATCAACATGTAGAATCACCATCCATTTATTTTGACAGAAAAATAGCAAATTAGTAATAGGAGTTAAAAATGTATCGCAAGTAATTATTTTTTAACCATTAGAAGCTCCGAATCACTACAAGTCATTTGACATTCTTTCAGAATATTTTACACTAAAGTGGAGGATTTGTCTTGCCTTAACTGCCAAATGGAAAGGAAAAAATGTTACCACATGAAGCGTGTTGTTGTCTTCTTCCATTCTCACCTTATAAATCTTGAATTGAATAACTAAATCCTATCCAAAGGGAGTTTTTTTTCATTCTACTCTTGTTCATTGTCCAGTCTGGTTTCAAGGGACGATTTTGAAAAATTCAAGGTCCAACTCATTGATGCAACGTACTTCCCTGTCACTTTTTGAGGAGAATATATGGAAGAAGCATACCTTTATAAGAATCAGCAATATACGTAAAAACTAATATGTCATTTATCAAGCTTTTTTTGTCTAATTTTTCAAACACATTAAATGATTTAGTGATAAATCAAGTTCAAATTAGATAATCAAATTTAGACACACTAAGAAAACTGTAAGATGACGTCAAGCAGAAATTCTTCAGGAATAGTTATTTATTAAGAAATTTGTTTGCTTGTAGGATGCAGTATTTGAGAGTTAGATAAATATCGCAAAGTCAAAACTTCAATCTTCCTTGAAAGTTCTAAAACCAAATTCACAAGTATAAAGATAGACTGTTCCTTATCCCTCATTTTCGTATGAAAATTATATCTTATATGAGAATCTGGTGGTGAAAGAAGCTGTCAGTTTTGTTTTACTCTCAGCTGATGTGATGATTAGTCAGATTTGACATGTCCATGGGACTTGACTTCTGAGCATAAATAGCTTTACCACTGAAGCAGACCATGTAGTTTTCTGCATATTATCAATTATCACAATTTTGCATAGGCATACAGGATGACAGCTGATATTGCCACTGCTCTAATTTTAATGCCACAGCACATTTTGTTTAAGTACCAAATTTGCCCTTGAGAGTCAATATCAGAATTTAGCAAGTTTTGCATGAGACCCACACATGTTTAACAACTCTGAGTCATCCCTCAAATCTTTATGTCTCCTGTACTCAACTTCAACTGTGAACAAGATTGGCATCTGGAAGTTGGAACACAGATTGCAGGCCTCAACTTCAGTTACCGTTTTCCCTTAATTTCTCTTGGCACCCAAAAAAGATGGTAGTGAGGAATTATTATCATGCTATCACCACCAGCACAAAAGGCACATCTTATAATATCTCATTCACAGTTTTAGCTCATGTATTGTAAGTGAATCTACCTTCACAGTAAAAGATTTCTTCAAAAATTATGCCCTATTATCTGCCTCTGTGAAAAAAAAATTGATGGTTAGGCCATGGTCTGACAATCAAAAGTAACAGAGGCCGAAGTTTGCTTAGTGGCATACCGAGGCTGCCTGAATTCAAGTACATGTAACTGCTCTTTCTCTTTTCGTCAGATAATTTAAAAGTTAAACATAAAAACTTAAGTATAATTCTAAACCTTGACTAATAGGCAATAGCTCAAGAATCTCAACAGAAATGATGAAACAAAATAGAATGACAGAAAATAAAATCAGGTTAAGTCGATTTTTACTTTGTTGACATCCAGACTGAGTCTTCTCTAGTGGCTAAGGTTGAGGCCTTAAGGATTAGAGGTCTTGAGTTCAAATTTCCTGCCCCTCCCCACTTCTTAAATCCCAACTCTCGTCAACCAAAAAAAAAAAAAAAAAACTTGAGTGTTAAAAAATGCAGAATCTTGTAAAAGTATTTGAACATCTCCTTTCATGTGCCTTTGGTTATTTGGTGGACTTTCGGATGGGATCCTGGGACGGAGAGAGGCATAGTCAGAGTCCAGAGGACTAATAGAACCAAATCTCTGGTGGGTCCTATATGTAACTTGCTAAAATTTGCCCGTTGACTACTGAGGACAAATATGTCATTTGGACAAAATGTGCTGGGGCATTAAAATCTTTGCCGTGGCATTATCATCTCTGCTATGCATAACTTTTTCTTATGTCGGATCTTTAATAATTGTTGCTATTGGCTTGTAGTCAAAAAGCAGAAGTAAGTAATAAATTTAGCTCAGCTGGAGACAAAATTCGTAATATCTTGATTACAACAGTGAAACAGAGAGTAGAGGCAACCCCAGGAGAGGCTGACGAGTCAAAAGTGGCAATTGTAACTAGATGGTAGATTGGAGAGGCGATAGTGGCTAGGAGCAACTGGAGAGGATGGCAAGGGGAAGAACCTAGGGTTATCCTGCTTCATTTAGTAGCTTAATAACTTTCTATGTCCAACCTCCACCTCAGCTGGTTATTATAAACCAGCTTTGTTTGATTGACAAGTCGAGTCGAGTCCAAGAACTTAAAAAAAATAATTATTTTAGAATTAGCACCCAAGACGGAGACGAGTATGTATGCTTAATTTAGTTGTTTACAATAGTCAATTATTCAAATAAGTAATAACAATGGTGTCAGGTAAATGCTTCAATACATATCTATGTATGATGATTTTTTCTTGAATTATGATGATTTTTTCTTGAATTGTTGTTTCTTAACTGCAAATAGTTTAGAGTGACAAAAAATATTATGGAAATGGAAGTCTTAGTTGCCTTCAGATAAATTGAATTTTTGTGTGATTCTGTTACTTAAGTTTATTATATTTGGAGTCGTTCCCTTCTTCTTCTTCTTCTTCTTCTTCTTCTATTTATTCATTTATTTTTTTGAAGCTGTTACTTCAGATAAATTGTATTTCTATGTGAATCTGTAACTGAAGTTTATTGTATTTGCTGTTATTCCTTTTTTTTTCCTTTCCTTTTTCTTTTTTATCATGCGTTCCTTTTTTCTATTGCTCCTATTCCTGTCCCAAATTCCTGACTTGTTTGCAGGTTTTGTGTTAAGGTACCCACTCTATTGTGAAGTCCAAACAAATTTGATATATTTTTGCAGAATTGATGAATGATGTCCTATAGAATTGCTCAAATACGTCTTGTAAATTCACATCCTGAAGTCTATGATCCCTGTGATGACTCATTTGCACTAGTTGATGCACTTCTAGCTGATCGAACAAACTTGCTTGAGCATCGTCCAATTTTTTGCTTGGAAATCGGTTGTGGTAGTGGATATGTGATTACTTCCCTTGCTCTTTTGCTTGGGGGTGATGTCTGTGGATCCTACTTTATTGCAACAGACATTAACCCTCATGCTTTGGATGTGACAAGTGATACATTGAAAGCACATGGAGTACATGCTGAGTTGGTAAATACCGATGTTGCAGCGGGTCTTGAGGGGCGATTGATGGGATTGGTAGATGTTATGGTTGTTAACCCACCTTATGTGCCAACACCTGAAGAAGAAGTGGGTTGTGATGGGATTGCTTCTGCATGGGCTGGAGGAGAAAATGGACGGAGTGTTATTGATAAGATATTGCCCATTGCAGACAGGCTTTTGTCTGATAAGGGTTGGTTATATATGGTTACCCTCACTGCGAATGACCCTTCTGATATATGCCTTCAGATGAAAAAGAAAGGTTATGCTGCTTGTATTGTGTTGCAGAGATCAACAGAAGAAGAGAGTCTCCATGTTATTAAGTTTTGGCAAGATCCAAATAGCAAATTGGAGGCAAACAAAGCGAAGGTGTTGAATCATGGTACTGCTATTGGATCATTTATTTCTCAATTTTCTCAAGTATCGCTCTGGAAAAGTAGAAATAGCACAAACAACTAATAGTAAACCTTGAAGTTGGAAAGTTATTATCCACGTCATCTAATTCTGGTTTCTTTATTCCTTGCTTTGAAAGTCATATCCAAATGATCAAGCTGAGGGTCCTCTTGAGGCCAGTGTAAAACTGTTGGAAATTTCAATATAAGCTACAGGATGGTTAATCATTTTGAGGCTGCCCGTTTACTTTTTTAAGTGCTTTGAATGTTACTGATTAAGTATTTTGGTTTAATTGAGTGGCAAAATCTACTCATCTTCTATGCCTACTTGTTAATAAAAGAAGTCAACGACTTTGTTAAATGGTTTGCTTCTTGACTTGTAACTAAACACTTGTTGATGCTGAGTGGCTGAGGTAAATTTTTTGGTTTTGGTTCTAGGATATTAATAATTTAAGGTGCTAATTTGAGTGCAATGGTGCATTTAGAGAATCATAAAAGCCTGTTGAAAGATGAGCCTTCTGCGTACTCATAGACCTTGTAAAGAGATAAATTTAGTGTAACTAGTCGGAATAGCTTCATATGACAGTATTGTTTTCTGAATATGTAATAGGAGTTCTCTACTGGTTGTTCACTTGACCCTTGGATGGTTCATGAGTTGTAGAACAAAGATAAAGCCCAAGATTTCCTGAATTCCAGTTTAACTTGATGAATTACTGGGTAGAAGATCATAGATCATCAGATATTTGGCATGGACTCTGCATAGTTGTAATGTTTTTTCCATGTATAATTCGTGTATTTGGAAGTTGGATGGTATTAGAAACTACAAGTAACATTATTGTGTATTTTGGCTTTCTTGATGATTGATGGGCATGGTTGAGACATACAGCACTATGAATGTTCTTTGTTGATTTTTGTTGTTTGAATTTATTTGGAATGTACTACAGCTCAGAAATGTTGAATGGATGAGAAGTCTGGCTAGTAGTCTTTGTTGAATTCCTTCTCTCTTTGACGGGCTACCTTGTGATCCTGTTGAATTAACTTCAATGTCTGAAATCAGCAGAAAAAGGACAAAATGGAAATAATTGTAACCACCTGCTGTAGGCTGTAGTCCCTCACTCGTCTTCTTTTCTCCTTTGAGAATTATAAAGAAGAGAATGAATGAATTGTTAGAAAGCCAGCAAAAAGATATCTTTAAAGGGCAGTTTTTTACACTTTAGGATGAACTTTCATGATGCAGACGAATATTCCGTAGCAACTAGCAACAATATTTCTGGTATCTCTACCAATTTTAACCATCTTGGGGTAATCCAGGTGAATGCCACCTATATAAATGACATGAGTATATACTAGCGCTGAAATTAAACTTGCATCACAAACACTGGCCACCTTCTCAGGTGTATGATTAAGCAGCTGTGAAACTTCATCAATTTTTACGCATGTAGGTGGGCTGATATGGGTGACAGAATGGAACGCTTTACAATACTCTGTTGCCTCGGCATTTATGGCGGTTCTTTATAGCGATTACATGTTCTGGTCCGGTACACCAACCCTGTATTGCAATGGAGACCAATACGAGCCAATGGACCTGCGAAATTTTGCAATTTCACAGGTACTTCTTTCTTTAACCACAGTATCTAAGAACTGATTTAGCTGCATTAATTGACCACATCGAGTAGCTCTATAAAGGGCGGTCCCAGTTAAATTACTTCTAAAGTCTCTCAAGAGCCAAAGTCTTGTTGCATGGCACGCCAAGATCATGATTCTAGATTTTCCCATTTCCTATTGTAATCTTCTTTTCAATCAACTCAATTCAGGCAAATTATGTTCTGGGAAGTAATCCAATGTAAATGAGCTACCTCGTTGGATATAGCAGTGACTACCCCAAATATGTACATCATTGGGGAGCTTCAATTCTAGCAGATGCTAATACAGGTTGCAAGGATGGGTTCAAGTGGCTTCATTCACCATCTCCAAATCCAAACATAGCAACTGGAGCTCTTGTTGGTGGACCATTTCTCAATGACACCTACATTGATTCCCGAAACAATTCTATCCAAGCAGAACCAACCACTTATAACAGTGCCTTCATTGTTGGTCTTCTATCTGGCCTTCTCACCGCCTCTCCAAAACTTCCGTCTTTCACATGGGAGAATACCAGTCTTGTATATAAACTGTGCAGTAACATGTAATTGTGAAAGACGAGATTGAAGAGTATATAAACTGTACAGAAAGACGAGATTGAAGAGTATATAAACTGTACAGATACACCTGCATAATCATATATTACCTAGAATCTTGCAGATTTGCTACTGAATTTGTCCTCTGATGCCCATATTATATCAGAAACCTCTGGTCCGACTTGCCTGTCAAGATTAAAGATTTGATTGCTGCGGCAGTATAAGGACAACCTAAATGAGGTGTCACCAAATGATGAACAATTTGCATAGTCAAAAACCCAATAAACACGAAAACCTTCATCCATTAAAAGCCAAAACGACAGAAGAAACATTAAGAAAAGGATCGTCTTGTAGTTGATTAGAAAACTCTTACGCCATTGTTAGTAATGGATCCTTGACTCCGTTAATAGATGTTGTGAAATGATGAAAGAGCCCTAGTTCTAAAGAATTAAAGTATTAAAATTTAAAATTCAATAAAAAGAATAATTTTGCCAGAAAAAAAGAAAAGTATTTATTTGAATTTGTGAGTTTTCACAAAAAATTTTGCAATATTTTCTCTACATATTTCTAAATTATTTTTTTACTTCATATGCATCATATCGCCAAATAAAAATTGAGAAACTATCCAACATAAGACAAAGACATAGAAAATTGGAGCAGAAAGATGATAAAAAAAGAAAAAAAATGGTGAAACACATGAAAAACATTGAAGAAAGAGATAAAAAGAATAGCAAGACCAAGTACTATAAAAAAAAATGGGTGTAAGGAAAATGATACAAAAAATTAAAAAAGAAAAGAGTAAAAAGCGTTGATTTGTTATACCAAAAATAGGAAAGGAAAGTGTTGGTCATCATCTTCCATAGACGAGCAGTCTCTTTTTCTTTTCTTCAAAACCATATCTAGATTCAGCAAAAATATTTTTAAATAACTTTCCCAACATAGGAGCTCATGTATGAATCAATCCAATTACATTTATCTAGATAATTTTGTTATGGAATTTTGAGCTTGACGGATCTTTTTTAGTTTGCCCAAACTTGAGAGCCTGATTCGTTATTTGATCAAATCTCAGGGAGGATAAATGTAATTAACCCTATTTTAAGCGAACTGAACAAAGTCACCCACTCCAACCCCATCGCCCCTGCTTGCTGACCAACTCAGCCAACCACTTCCCTCCCTGGCTCCACCCATTTTCAGTTTCCTCCGCCGCCAAGCTGCCGAGCCCCTCTCCTTCTCCGTTTGACTGGAACGCAAGGCCGATAGAACGAGCGAACTCGCCAATCTACAGGTAAAATTGACTTCTTCTCCTTGCACCAATGAATTTCGACTCAGAGTTTGTCATTCGTTCATTCTTACCTTAAAAACGATCAAGTAAAAAGACGTTAAATTTATTGATTAAAAGGGACATCACATCTATATATCTCTTCTCATTTTCCTTACACAAGTTGATATCTTCCTCAAGGGTCACAATATTGACTATCAACGTATTGCCTTGAGTTTTGTAGTACTAGTGTTACACTTTCTGCTGATAAAAGATTGTCCTAGTAGGTAGATTATATGCTGTTATTGTTATCCAATATACTTGTTGTTAGTAATGCAGCCAAGGGTCAGGCAGCTATATTTTGCTCATTATTTGTGAGCCCTAGCGAAATGTTCATTCTATAGATTATTAACATGAGCTTTAGAAAGATATAGTGGCTGTCATTTTAACACTCTTTAAGAGTATAAGTAGATAAATATGCACGGCTATGTAAAGTGCTAATGTTGAATTTCAATGAATGACTACCATATCTAAGGTGGTCCTCCTTGTCTGGTGGGTACTAAATACTAGATAAGGAGGACCCACATTACTTACTTGGTGACGAGTGATTGGTAGTGTTGTACCATATCTTAGTGTCAATGTGGCCTAACTTGAGTATCCAATACCTGGGCACTAGTTCAAAAATTTAGTATATGCATATTAAGAGTGACACTAGCTTATGGTATGGCATACAACTTTGCTTGTTTGATAATGTAATATAAAATGGGCTGTGTTTGTTTGAACTCATAAGCCTTTTACGAACTCCCTTAAAGTTGAAATTGTATAACTTAATTAAGAGATATTAAACATGGATGGGGCCCAATTCAATAGCAGTCCTACTTACATGCAAAGTTGAGCGTCACATCATCAGCTTATGTTGCATCACATGTACATACCATATTTTCTCTCGTTATTTTTGATATGAGAAACATTCAACAGAAACTACGGTGAACTAGTTGAGTTGCTTCCGCTACTCAGGCTGGTTAATTAGACTTACGTGAACTTATAGTTATGCTTGAGCTACTGATCAGTTCTTTGATCAAGTTGGAGCTCCTTAATAAGTAACTTGCAAAGCTTATGAGCCTCAAATTGTCGGTTTTTATAGTCAAAGTCTCCTGCAATATAACGGCACTTGTTGAGCTACATGTTAGCCGTGCTGAACTCTGCTATCAAGCTTAGCTTGTATGATGTCCGGGTCAAGGTCCAGCTTGGCTTACATACAGTTCAAGGTTCATTTAGGTAGTCCTACTTTGCAGTAAGATTTCTGTCATTCGAGCTCAAACTCAATTGGGATCGTCAAAACTTCTTGCCAAACTTAAGATTGATGATGGCCTAGAACTCAAGTTTGTTACAATTTAGTAATTATCAACATGTAGAATCACCACCCATTTATTTTGGCAGAAAAATAGCAAATTAGTAATAGGAGTTAAAAATGTATCGCAAGTACTTATTTTTTAACCATTAGAAGCTCCGAATCACTACAAGTCATTTGACATTCTTTCAGAATATTTTACACTAAAGTGGAGGATTTGTCTTGCCTTAACTGCCAAATGGAAAGGAAAAAATGTTACCACATAAAACGTGTTGTTGTCTTCTTCCATTCTCACCTCATAAATCTTGAATTGAATAACTAAATCCTATCCAAAGGGAGTTTTTTTCATTCTACTCTTGTTCATTGCCCAGTCTGGTTTCAAGGGACGATTTTGAAAAATTCAAGGTCCAACTCATTGATACAAAGTACTTCCGTGTCACTTTTTGGGGAGAATATATGGAAGAAGCATACCTTTATAAGAATCAGCAATATACATAGAAACTAATATGTCATTTATCAAGCTTTTTTTGTCTAATTGTTCAAACACATTAAATGATTTAGTGATAAATCAAGTTCAAATTAGATAATCAAATTTAGATACACTAAGAAAACTGTAAGATGACGTCAAGCAGAAATTCTTCGGGAATAGTTATTTATTAAGAAATTTGTTTGCTTGTAGGATGCAATATTTGAGAGTCAGATAAATATCGCAAAGTCAAAACTTCAATCTTCCTTGAAAGTTCTAAAACCAAATTCACAAGTATAAAGAAAAACTGTTCCTTATCCCTCATTTTCGTATGAAAATTATATCTTATATGAGAATCTGGTGGTGAAAGAAGCTATCAGCTTTGTTTTACTCTCAGCTGATGTGATGATTAGTCAGATCTGGCGTGTCTATGGGATTTGACTTCTGAGCATAAATAGCTTTACCACTGAAGCAGACCATGTAATTTTCTGCATATTATCAATTATCACAATTTTGCATAGGCATACAGGATGACAGCTGATATTGCCGCTGCTATAATTTTAATGCCACAGCACATTTTGTTTAAGTACCAAATTTGCTCTTGAGAGTCAATATCAGAATTTAGCAAGTTTTGCATGAGACCCGCACATGTTTAACACCTCTGAATCATTTCTCAAATCTTAATATCTCATGTACTCAATTTCGACTATGAACAAGATTGGCGTCTGGAAGTTGGAACACAGATTGGAGGCCTCAACTTCAGTTGCCGTTTTTCCTTAATTTCTCTTGGCACCCAAAAAAGATGGTAGTGAAGATTTATTCTCATGCTATCACCACTAGCACAAAAGGCACATCTTCTTACAATATCTCATTCACAGATTTAGTTCATATATTGTAAGTGAATCCACCTTCACAGTAAAAGATTTCTTCAAAAACTATGCCCTATTATCTGCCTCTGTGAAAAAAAAATTGATGGTCAGGCCATGGTCTGACAATCAAAAGTAACAAAGGCCGAAGTTTGCTTAGTGGCATACCGAGGTTGCCTGAACTCAAGTACATGTCACTGCTTTTTCTCTTTTCATCAGATTATTTAAAAATTAAACATAAAGACTTAAGTATAATTCTAAACCTTGACTAATAGGCAATAGCTCAAGAATCCCAACAGAAATGATGAAACAAAATAGAAAGACAGAAAATAAAATCAGGTTAAGTCGATTTTTACTTTGTTGACATCGAGACTGAGTCTTCTCTAGTGGCTAAGGTTGAGGCCTTTAGAATTAGAGGTCTTGAGTTCAAATTTCCTGCCCCTCCCCACTTCTTAAATCCCAACCCTCGTCAACCGAAAAAAAAAAAAAAACTTGAGTGTTCAAAAATGCAGAATCTTGTAAAAGTATTTGAACATCTCCACAAGCTCTTCAGCCCAAATCAATGGCACCGGATTTAAGCTCCAACTGCTTTTTCATGTGCCTTTTGTTATTTGGTGGATTTTCGGATGGGATCCTGGGACGGAGAGAGGCATAGTCAGAGTCCAGAGGACTAATAGAACCAAAACTCTGGTGAGTCCTACATGTAACTTGCTAAATTTTGCCCGTTGACTACTGAGGACAAATATGTCATTTGGACAAAATATGCCGGGGCATTAAAATCTCTGCTGTGGCATTATCATCTCTGCTATGCATAACTTTTTCTTATGTCGGATCTTTAATAATTGTTGCTATTGGCTTGTAGTAAAAAAGCAGAAGTAATAAATTCAGCTCAACTGGAGACAAAATTGGTAATATCTTGATTACAGCAGTGAAACAGAGAGTAGAGGCAACCCCAGGAGAGGCTGATGAGTCAAAAGTGGCAATTGTAACTAGATGGTAGATTGGAGAGGAGATAGTGGCTAGGAGCAACTGGAGAGGATGGCAAGGGGAAGAACCTAGGGTTATCTTGCTTCATTTAGTAGATTAATAACTTTCTATGTCCAACCTCCACCTCAGCTGGTTATATAAACCAGCTTTGTTTGATTGACAAGTCGAGTCGAGTCGAGTAAAATCCAAGAACTTAAAAAAAATAATTATTTTAAGCACAGTCAAACTTTAAATTTAAAAACTTAAAATAGAGGTGGTCAGCAAAAACTCGCTAATGTTTAATAGCACAGTCAAACTTTAAAAAACAAGAGAATTCATCCAGTGTTAATATTTAATAGCACAAAAACTGTAAGCACCCTCATAACAATTTAAATTTTGGTCATTGTTTTCTTCCATGTTACCTGGACTTAGAATTCACCCCAAGCGCACCGTGTCGACACGATATGACAGGGGCACATGTACGGAATCCGTACCTGATATGGTCAAAAATTTTTGGATACATGGACTGTTGCAAGATTTGTGAGATCTGATGTTGATGGCAGAGGAGGAGGAGAGCTGGACAAGAAGTCTCATGAGATGGGAAGAGAATGGAAGAGGAAGAATGGTTGCTCTATGGAGGAGAAAGAAAGGAGAAAGCTGCTATAAATTTGAAAAGAAAAATACTCATGACATCTGCTGTATTTTCACTTCATCTGTACAGGCTGCTGATTCTCTCTCACTGAAGGAAGATACGGAATTGTGGTAATGATGGTGTTTAAGAGTAAAAGTGGCTCTATTAGTTTGAGAAGAGATGTTCTGTTTTGATTCATTTGAACCCACTGTAAATGAGGTGATGACAGCTCTAAATGGGGGATGAGGAAGATAGGGTTTGACAATGATAGTTATTTTGCAACTAAAACGCTGTATTTTGACTTTAACTTTCCTTTTGAACAAGTGACTTAATTTCTTTACAATTTTACCCTTTTTAATATAGATTCAGTCCCTCACAATTAAAAAATTTTACCTTTCTCTAACCAAGCTTATGGTTCTTTTCAAACTAGTTGCACACTTCATTGAAATTTTTATTAAAATACGCTTTATATATCATTGTACATAAATTTTAGAATGATTTATTTCTAAAGATCTTATCCATCTACAAGTTTAAGAAGCGCACCCCTGCACCCATACCTAAAATTGGTCACATATCCCTGGATCCTATAATTTTTAAATATGCGAATCCGACACTTCAACATGCACCTGTATCTGACACCAATACCCGAGTCCATATAACATATATTTTCTCTTGAATAGATGTATATAATGCAGAGCCAAATTTTAGAAAAGGAAAGCAAGTCTTAATTTGTTCACAACAATATTGATTCTAGCATGCTTAATAATGCATCCATCACCAAAATGTCTAACACAGAAATGAGTAATGACTATTCATATGAACTAGTCAACAGAAACCGCATCTCCAGATTCCTTGTCCAGGCAACTCGCTCAATACTTCAAGGTATAATCATGTAATCCATGATTGCATTTGACAAGACGCATACCTCTCTTTCCCTTTTATCACTTCCTTTTCTCTTTGTTTGGTGTGGAATGCTCTAGGCAGTAGGGCCCCTTTGAAAATAAGGCACTTAGGCATAAAATAATGCATTAGATGCAACATATAGTCATCAAGCAAATTTTAGCTGATTAAGCTTTGTTAACCTATCATATGAACAACTAATTCTGTAAGTCTCAAAAAATAAGTAGTACCAGCCATTTGTCTAGAGCTGTGCTAAAAAGGCTACCACGTAAGATTAACACCAACAAGATAGGCATCTTTCACCTTTATCTCCCTAAAAGGTAAATCACATACTGATACCACAAGCAAACTTCTACTCCAACCAATGGTCAAGTTTATGGTCAATGGCAAAAAAGGAGAAGTATCTTAACCAGCAAACAGAACTGATTAAATATCAGAAATGTAATAGAGAGTATGTACTCCTACTTCTTATTATAGAAATTAAAGAATCTAGGCACAGTAAATTGCAAAGGCCTTGTGGAGCTTAATGCAATGCCTGAAGTGGAGTGCTGGTCAGTTGAAACAAAGCGCAGAGTTGCTTATGCTGTAAATTATTTTCAACTAATGTCATAATGCACCAGTATGCTGTGAATTTGTAATTACATAGCCCTACATGAAAGCTTATATCTTCAAAGGCATAAAACACTACATCAAAGTACTTTCAACCCAAAAAAATCCTATTTACTTTATCATGCCTTCGATGACAATTCCACAATTTCTATAAAATCATACCCCTCACATACGGAATAACATTAAAAATGAGGAACAGTAAAAGTTTGACAAAGATCTTTCTTTTCATCATATCTTTAATAAAGCAACAACGAGAACATGAACCTTGTTATTAATATCTTAAAGCATTACACACAGCAAATCACATCCTCCATTGCAGTTATCATGATGTTCAGAAATTTTGAACCGAAAAGACTCTTAAAAAGGAATTATGTATATATAGTAAAATTTGAGATATCCAATATTGCAAAACTGGGAAGCACATGAAAATAAACACAAAATAAAATTTTCACATAATTTCCTTTATTGAAAACCATATGAACATCAACTTTTAGAGGTAAGAACTTCTGTATCTAAAAGAAATCTATTCAGGACATCTGGAAATCTAATGAAGCTTGTAGATCTACTAAAATCAAGAATAGATGTACATAAATGTAGTCAATCCACAATTAGAAATATAATAACACCACATAAACACTTGGAGCAGGCAGCCATTAATACTTACATCTCATAAATGAATAACTGACGCTCTCATATCCCAAAATCACTTTACTACAAGAATGTTCCACATGATCTGCTAACCTTACACAAATTCCATGGTGCAAAAGCAATTTCTACCAGCTCAGATTGTGAGCATCAATAGCATAACTTCCATTTCATAGCATAACTTCAACAAATCCAAGGAAATGTTAATCTTACTAATATATATGCTAAATCCCAGTCTTTAAGTTAGCAACTGACTTCATTCAAATAAGAGCTAAATGCCGCGACTGAATTGCAACTGAACACTTTCTCAAAAAATCTTCGTACCATCTTTAGACTTTCAGCATTAGACCTCAAAATAAAGCAATATAAATTCAATCCTAGTAAAGTATATGACATCTAAAATCATAACCAGCGAAATCTGGTAGAAATTGAATCCAATACCGGATTAAGAACAAATTAACTCCAATTCAATATACAATTTACACTTTGAGGAAATTAGGTGATTAAACAATTTATCTAATGCAAAATCAGAAATTTTACCTTCTCCCGAGCTTCAGCTGACAACTCCGCTCCCCAAATCACAATCGACTTTGAGATTTAAATCAAGAGAGGTTTTAAATGGAATTACGCAATTTCGGAGAAAGCCGGAAATTAGGCATTAATTAGGGTAAGAGATAGAAGAAGGCAGGAATGAGGAAAGTTAAAGACGGCGAAATTTGGCCAAGGGGCTTACCGGCGCCGGCGAGGTGATCGATCTCTCTCCGATCCAAGTTGACGGCAATGACGAGGATCGAGAATTAGGGTTGTTCTTTATTTTATTTTATTACTCCCAACCGCTCAGTCTCACACTCTCTTTCTCTCAGCCGTTCGTTTGGGAGTGGATGATTTGGAGAGAAAAGAAGGGGAAAGAAGAGAAAGTGAACATTTCTTTCGTTTGTTAGTTTTTATTAGGAAAGAAAAGAAGAGAAATGGAAGGATTTAAGAGAATAAATAGTAAGTAAAAGTTTTTCTCCCAAATTAGAGAGAAAGTTGGAGGAATCTTATGAAAGTTTTTTAAAATACCTATTATATTCTTAAAAATATTTTGAACAAATATTTAATAATTTTTATATCCAAAATCATTCCACTAATTCTCAAAACTCCCAAACAACACAATAATCCCTTCTCTTCTCTTCTCTTCTCTCCTAACTTAAGTTTTCCCTTCTTCTCTTTTCTATCCTAAACTCCCAAACTTAGCCAGTTTGGATTTCTAGGTCAAAGGAGAGTAAAAAATATATCCCTTTTCTTTTTTTTCAGGAAGGAACCTAACAAAGTCAATAAAAAAAGGGATAATTTCAGAAACCTCCCTGAGGTTTCTAGCGATTTCACTAAGCTCTCTCAAGGTTTTTAATATTACACTTACCTCCATTGATAATAGAAAATGACTATAATAACCTTCATAATTTCTCGAAAGACAAGCCATTGATAAAAAATAAAAAAAAAAGATAACAGAAAAATGAAAAATGAAAAAAGTAAAACAATTATTCTTGATTAGGCTATATATTGTTGCGAAACTGTTTCAGTCATAACCATTAAATTATAACCTTCTATCACTCAAATATACTAATCAAGATAGATGTCTCCTTCCATATCGTTATCCTGCTAGCACCATCCCTATCACCTTTCTCAAAGTGTCTCTTGAATTCCTGATCTCCAAATGCCAATTTGAAACTTGTAACTCTTTTTTATTTTGTCACCCTACTCATTAAACCCTTGATAATTTTATTTATAAATTGAAATGGAATGGAAATCTAAAATTTTCACACAGAAAACCCATTAAAAGTGGAAATCTAAAATTTTCACATAGAAAACCCATTAAAAGCCTTTACCTCACTAAATTTATTGTCATGCTACTGCTGTTGATGATGATGGAAGCAATCATCACTGCCAACAATTTAATTGTTCATATCATTGAGCACAAAAAAGCTATTAGATTATGAGAAAGTATAAATTGGTAGACTACACTAAAACTACTACCCCAAACTTGCACTTTGTTGATGTTTTTCTTGGTTCCTCTTAATAGACATCAAACTTGTTCTCAATAAAATTGTGTTAATTTTGAGAAAAAAAAATGTGGGCTGATTTAGATGACCAACCGGAATATTGAGAGCAGAGGTTAGAAGAATTTTAGTAACCGAGAGCTTGGCCATTTGAGTGGGGAAAAGGTAAGGATTGTGAGTTTTATGATTAATGATTTGGTAGATAATATATGGAAGAAATCTATAGAGAGGTAAAAATTGTAAAGGTAAAAATTACGACGATGGATTTTGGGCATCTAAAACAGAGTTTGTTCGGAAGAAAAAGAAGTGATGAGTGTTTGAAAGTTTCGATGGATGTAGAAAACCATTGGGATGAAAAACATCAAAACATTGGCTAAGCAATAAAACTCATAATTTTGGTAGTATACAAGCGTATTCTTGACTTTTAAAATTTTTTAATGATTATTCATATTAAGAAAATTTAGATAAGGGCAAATTTGGGCATTCATATAACTTTTTTGGTATTACATCATAAAGGTGAAACCCAAACTTATGTTTTAGGGGACGTATATGTAATTTCTAAAATGTGGGGGGAACTGTCTAAAATCATTAGAAACCTCAAGGGAGGTTCCTCAGATTATCCCATAAAAAAAATATAAGTGATAGGTGTCAACTTCAATTAATTATATAATTCAAGCTTTTAATGAGTCAAGTTAAACGGAATGTATTTTATAGTTACTAGTTATCCCTATTCATGCATTTGCACAGGCACTTTTTCATGCTCGAAAATTTTTATTTTTTTGAACAAAAATTGTTATAAAAGAACCAAAAATGCTATTTTATAAAATTTAATATAATTATTGTAATGCAAATATTGAAATTAAATAGATTAAAAATAGTTAATTTATAACAATTTAATAATTAGTTAGGGTAGAGGGGTGAATGGGGTGAAACCTAAACATATGTTCTAGGGAAGGTTCGTGTAATTTTCAAAATGTGAGTGGAACTGTCTGAAATCATTAGAAACCTCAAGGGAGGTTTCTAAAATTATCCCATAAAAAAATATAAGTGACAAGTGTCAACTTCAATTAATTATATAATTCAAGCGTTTATAAGTCAAATTAAAACCGAATGTATATAGTTACCGGTTATCCCTACTCATGTATTTGTATAGGCACTTTTCATGCTCGAAAATTTTTACTTTTTTGAACAAAAATTGTTATAAAATGACCAAAAATGCTATTTTATAAAATTTAATATAATTATTGTAATGCAAATATTGAAATTAAATAGATTAAAAATAGTTAATTTATAACAATTTAATAATTTGTTTAGGGTAGAGGGGTGGATGGGGTAATATGAGAGAGGGAGTATAAATAAGAGATCTCGATTATACTAAAAAAAAAACTTAACAATTAGTGCATTGACGGGAACGAGTTAGCACTCGGGCTTTTAGTTCCTTTGCGCTCGCCCCAACCATAGCCTTCTTGTCTCTATAGTCTCCTAGAGGCCAAAAAAATACTCCCCTTTAAAACATCAGTGATCAGTACATGTAAAAAAATAATCATCTATGCTAAAGGAGCAATGAACCTTGGACTCATATTAAAGACTCCTTTACATAATAGCAGAACTAGGAAATGAAAGTGCATCGCTATCCTTTGAGAAAAAAAAAAAGAACAGAAAAACAGAATATTTTTACAAAGCAAATTCAGTAACCTGACACAGATTTGGATAGTAAGCTAGTAAAATAAGAACATATGTTTAACAAACCCGCCAAAAGAAAAGCTTTCGTGGTTTTTTCCCATTCTAGCATATTAAAATTACACTATGCTGTTAAGCTTTAGCTACACTGGCAACACCAAGATCGCCACAGCACTAAAGTGAGAAAAATTTGAACCCCAGATTCTGAAATATGGTCCACAGATCAATCAATAGTTTTTATGGGTTTTGGTCTTGATTTGAGTGAAGAGATAGAGGTAGTGTAATTGCTGATTTATGTTCTTTTGGCAGCTATATAGCAGGAATATATATATATATATATATATATATATATATATGAAAGTAACTATTTTAATTAGAGTGTTTCTCATTTCTATGTGGTAAGCCTAATTGAAGAGAATTAATAGGTTATGGATCATTTGAATTTTACCCATATTGACTATTACATTATATGTTTAAAAATTATCCCTAATTTTAAAATAAATTTTAAAAATAACTAATCTTATCTTAATGATATCTGCTTTCTATCAAATTATTACATAGAATTATAGTAAAACCTTTTTCAAATCACAATTATTAAAATCTTACATATTCTATAAATTACTTTCTTTCACTACCATATCGTTGATTAGTTTACAAATTATTCATCATTTCTTCACTTAATTTTGAATTAATTTAGTGTAAAAAAGAAAATTAATTGTTACACAGACAGAATTACTAATATTGTTGGAAGCTAAATATTTATTAATGAAAAAAAGTGAATTGCTGGATCTTTCTACTTAATTAAATATGAATATATAGTTCTAGATTTATGATCATTATAAAAATTTAAATTATCTAATAATATTTATAAAAGAATAATATCTACCAAGTTTTTGATATAGGATCCGTTATTTGATATATAATATCATATTATAGTGAAAGTATGTAAATAATTTCTTAAAAATTAGTAAATAATTGAACATTTAGAATACATTAATTTTTTAAATTAATATGAGTGAACATGTAGGATTGTTGTTAATTTTCATATTTAAATTATTCATATTTGTATAAATTTACAATAAATAAAAATAGACCGTGCTAAGGCACAAACAAAATTGTAGTTGTAGTCTAAGCAAAAATTAGGCCCAAAGTATAAATTTCACTACATATTCCGCTACTGATCAGTGGCAGCTGGTGGCAGACACAGTAGTTGCCGACGAAGTCACGTGATAGTGGAGCATTGCGGCCTGGACGTTGGTTGCCGCCATGGTTGAATGCTTTCCAAAAAAGACGAAAACTAAAAATAGAAAAGAAACTGGAAGATAAGTAGTAGATGATGCTATATGCAATCTACATCGTTTCACTTTTGGGTCATTGGTCATTTCAGTGGCACCATTTAAAATTTCTAGCGGAAGTTATTCATAGGGAGGCATTTGTTATTGGCTTAATCTTTTTTACACTAGTGTATGCACTGAGTAGAAATTATGCAAAATTTGAATTTGAAATCCAATTTTTTGCATATGTGTAGTAGATTTAACAGTGAAAGTGTATACATTGTAAGTGTATATAAGATTTACTCATTGTTATTTGGCTAAACAATAAGGTTTGATTGGTAATATGGTTGAACTTCAGGGGAGGTAAATGTAATTAATCCTTGTATTAAATATAATTTCCTTTTTTATCAATCAACTCATATCTTTTCTTTTCTAATCATCTTCAACCACGTTCTCTATTCCTATTATTTATTTGAGTATTTATTGCCATTACTAAAATTTAGACAAAGAATGATCTTCACCTTCAAAAAATTCATATACATATATATCAAGTCCATTTAAATTGTATAAATAGTAATTCTTTCTTAAAATTTTCTATTAATTTTTATGCTCTCTCCATTTAAATTCGATTTAGGCTAAAGTACTATCATATAAACATGGGGTTGTAAAAGTTCTCCCAAATTATTTTTCCTTTATATTTTAGTTTTCAATAATTTTAGAAAATAATAAGTTCATCATCTATTAGTTTGCTTTCCAAAATTCTTTTCAGTAGTGAAAGAATCAACTATTTAATTGCACTTATTTTCTAATATATCTCCTTCACTCATAGTTGACTTGCCACCATTAATTATAACAAACATAATTGAATTACGATATAAGATTCTATTCCAAACTGCTGACAACCAGGCATAGGATTTGTTTCTTAAACCTATC